AATTCTTGTGATCCTGTTCAGCATTCAACGATTTGGAACAGACAAAGTGGGGTTCTCGTTTGCCCCAATAATCTTTATATGGTTTTCATTCATCGGTGGCATTGGCCTCTTCAACCTGTTCAAGCATGACCCTGCCGTTCTCAAAGCTTTTAACCCTAAGTATATCTTTGATTACTTCAAGAGAAATGGCAGGCAAGCTTGGGTTTCCCTTGGTGGAGTTTTTCTTTGCATTACAGGTCTCTTTCTCTCTCTCTCTCCACTTTTGTTGACTTTTTTGTCACTCCTTTGACTTATTTTCCTAAGTTTTGAGTTCATGTTCATATGGTGTATAGGGACTGAAGCCATGTTTGCTGATTTGGGTCACTTCAATGTTCGAGCTATTCAGGTAAGCGACTAGATCAGGGCTGTACAGATTGAGTTGGATTGGGTTGGGTTTGAGTAATCTGTTACACGAATTCGAAATTTTGGATTGATTGTGTTGATGACCCGAACAACCCAAATAGAGTTCACAACCCAACTCTCTGTTTTGGGTTGTGGATTGATTGTGTTGATGATCCGAACAGCCCAAATAGAGTTCACAACCCAACTCTCTGTTTTGGGTTGTGTTGAGTTGGATTGTCCCGTTGTTCTTTTTCTTTTAATTATTTGTATATTAATAACTAAAATTACAAGTCATAACACATTCGTGTGACAAATGTCAAATATTTTTAATTTTCATAATAATTTTAAAAATAGAATAGGGTTGGATTGTAAACCATGTTTCTAGGTTGACCGGGCAAAAAAGAAAAAAGTCAACCGGTGAATTGACCCGAATTCTGGGTTTTTCGAAAATTCAACCTAACCCAACTGAAAAAATAGATAATTCAACCCAATATTTATGGTTTGTGTTATGTAGTCCGAATTGAATTGAAAGATCAGATCTAGATTAAACTTGTAATTTACAATTTTGCAGATTAGTTTCGGTTCTATCGTATTCCCTGCTTTGATAGCTGCCTACAGTGGGCAAGCTGCATATCTAAGAAAATTCCCGGGCCACGTCGGCAATACTTTCTACGATTCAATTCCAGGTCAGCTGCTTACGTCATTAAGTTTTTTTTTAATTATATCTTTGTAATCACAAATGGTTAATAAAATGACAAGATAACATGTGAGATCCTACATTGGTTGGAGAACGAAACGAAAAGCATTTTTTACAAGGGTGTGAAAACCTTTTCCTAGCCGACCCATTTTTAAAATCTTAAGTGAAGTGTGCTTGTACTATTTCGAATGGTACCAGAGCCAGACACTGAATGATGTGCTAGCGAGTACGCTGAGCCCCGAAAGGGGTGGACACCAACATTCTTTACAATGGTGTGAAAACCTTGAGGAGAAACCCTAAACCCTACTAATTTCTCAACTAATTCCTCTGAATGGTTGTAGGTCCTTTGTACTGGCCAACGTTCGTAGTTGCGGTGGCGGCATCAATCATAGCAAGCCAAGCAATGATCTCAGGAGCATTTGCAATAATATCACAGTCCTTGTCTCTAGGCTGCTTCCCCAGAGTTAAAGTCGTTCATACTTCACACAAGTACGAAGGCCAAGTCTACATCCCGGAGATCAATTACCTTCTAATGTTGGCTTGTGTCATCGTTAGCGCCGCCTTCCAAACCACGGAGAACATCGGCCACGCCTACGGCATCGCCGTCGTCACCGTCATGATCATGACCACTGGCATGGTTTCTCTCATCATGATCGTCATTTGGAAAACCAGCATTTGGTGGATCGCTTTGTTCCTTCTCGTCTTCGGCTCCATCGAGCTTCTCTACTTCTCATCCGTCCTCTATAAGTTCACTCAAGGAGGGTTTCTCCCCCTCGTCCTTGCCCTTTTCCTCATGGCTGTCATGATCGTTTGGCATTATGTTCATAGGGAGAGATACGTGTTCGAGCTCAAAAACAAGGTCTCCTCAGGCTACATAACCGAGTTGGCTTGTAACCCTAATGTCAACCGAATTCCTGGAATTGGCCTTCTCTACTCCGAGTTGGTTCAGGGTATTCCTCCTATCTTCCCTCACTTCATTTCCAGCATTCCCTCGGTTCATTCTGTCATCATTTTCGTCTCCATCAAGTCCATTCCGATCAGCAAAGTCGAGCCCAAGGAGCGGTTTTTGTTTCGGCACGTGGAGCCGAGGGAGTATCGAATGTTTCGGTGTGTGGTCAGGTATGTTATGCTAATGCTTACTTATAAACCCATGATCAACCCCTTAATTAGCAGATACAGGACTCCTCACCATCAATCCTCAATAATCCTCCCCTCGAACAAAATACACCATAGAGCCTCTCCTGAGACCAATGGAGCCCTCGAACAATCTCTCCTTAATTGACACATTGATCATAAGCTCTTATGGCTTTGCTTTCGGCTTTCCAAAAGGCCTCATACCAAAGGAGATGTATTCCTTAAACCCATAACCCAAGCCCACCGCTAACGGAGTCTCTTTGAGTTTTTTCTTTTGGGCTTATCCTCAAGATTTTAAAACGTTAACCAGGGAGAGGTTTTCACATCTTTATAAACAATCTCATAATCCACCCCCTTAGGGGCCAGTGTCCTCGTGGGCACATTGCCCCTGTCTGACTCTGATACCATTGCCCCTGTCTGACTCTGATACCATTTGTAACAGCTCAAGCCCACCGCTAACAGATATTGTCCTCTTTGCCCATGAACAACCCCTTAATTAGCCAACGTGAGACTCCCCCAATAATCCTCAACAAAACCACCATTAAACTTAAATTCATCGGTTATTAGCATTCGGGTTTTGATTCCTAAATTGCGACGCAGATATGGATACAAAGACGTGATCACCGGATCAGCCGAGTTCGAGCGGCAGCTGGTGGACAGTTTGAAAGAATTCATACGCCAAGAACACATAATGCTGGAAGGGATCCCATTAGAGCCAACCTCAAACCAGAGCCACTCAGGCAAAATAGAACCAACAAAAGCAAAACCCTCTTCTTCATCTGCAGCAACAGTGCACGTCGAAGGAACTGCAGCGGAAGTAGCGAGCCAGTCACGGCGTTCGTCGGGGTCCATTCAGTCGTTCAACGCTTCAAAATCGAGGCACTCATCAAACGCCATAGCTGCGGGAGGGGCAGTAGAAGAAGAGATGCAGTTCGTAGAGAAAGCAATGGAGAAAGGCGTGGTTTATCTGTTGGGAGAAGCAGAGGTGGTGGCTGAGCCAGAATCTTCACTGTTTAAGAAGATAGTGGTGAATTATGCGTATAGTTTCTTGAGGAAGAACTTTAGGCAAGGGGAGAATATTCTTGAGATTCCTCGTACCAGGCTTCTAAGGGTTGGAATGACTTATGAAATATGACAAGAACAGTGTGTTGTTCGTATGTTTTAAGGTTTTAAGTTGGTTTTTTGTTGGAATATATGTATATTACGTCGTACTTGTGTGTGTTGAAAAAGGTTTTTAGGGTACGGTTGGGTTGTTGGTCGGGTTGTTTATAACAAACAGGCTCTCGAGACGATGAGTATCTATCTTGGTTTTCTTCTGCTTTAATTGAGAAGAGTTATCGAGTCGATGAGTACCCATCAAGGGTATTTGATATATGTAGCTAACTGTTTCATCTGTATAAGATTCAAATAAGGATTCAGAATCTGGGTTCGACACCTAATGATCCTGTCATTTCCTTGGTACATGGTTACGTTACTTGTGTGAGGCATCTCAGAGAGCGACACCTAATGACCCGACATTTTCCTGATTCATGGTTATGTTACTTACGTGAGGATAAGCGTGCGACACCTAATAACTCCGATATTTTCCTACGACATGGTTGCATTACTTACGTGAGGCTTCTAAGAGTGTGACACCTAGACATCTAATGGCCAAGACACTTTCCTACGACATGGTTATATTACTTACGTGAGACATATAAGAGTGCGACACCTAGACACTTAATGACCCCGACATTTCCCTACAACATGGTTAGATTACTTATGTGAGGCATCTAAGAGTAAAAACTATCCTCACAGACCAACACGAGTCCTTTCGACATGCTTTATAGGTAAAATTTCCAACATGTCACCCAACATGAGTAGTTGAAATATTATATATTTAATTTTTTTAAATACATTAATGACTAATTGAACCCATTTATGAACACTAAATGATTTGGTTACTTCCATTAATAATATTTATCATAATTTAACTGCATGAAATGAATACTAATGGATTAGGTCGAGTTTTATTTTAAAGTTTAACAATTTTGTGAGATCTCATATCAATTAGAGGGAAGAACGAAACATTCATTAGAACGATGTGAAAACATCTCCCTAGTAAACGCGTTCTAATCTCATGAAGCTGACGACAATATGTAACAGACTAAAGTAGACAATATTTGCTGACGGTGGGCTTAGGCTTGTTACAAACGGTATCAAAGCCCGACACTGAGCGATGTGCGAGTGAGGCGCGGGGTGGTGGATTGTGAGATCGGGAGAGAGGAATAAAACTTTCCTTATAAGATGTTGAAACTACTCACTAATTTTAATTTGAAAAAAATACAGTATAAGTGTAATTTAATGAAATTAATCGTGCCTAAAAATAGGACACTTTTAGAAAGGAAAAAAAAAACTATTATTCTATGGTTAATTAATTATGTTAATATTTTATTAAATGATATTAAAGTTTATTTATTATTATTTATTTTTGGTGAATTTATTTTATTAACTCTCCAATTCATTCCATTTTATCCACAAATTTTAAAATTTTATATTTTACCCTTCAAACTTAAAAATAAATAAAAATTGGTCTTCAGTTTTATTTTTATTTTAATAAATTAATGATATAGCTTAAGAGATTATACTAAATAATTCCTAAATTTTCAAATTTTTTATTCATTTTAAATTTTTTTAGCTAATAAATAAATAGTAATTTCCTTAAATAACTAATAATAATAATAAAGTTATTTACTTAAAAATCATCTATCAGGTTCGGTATATATATATAAAAAATGGTGGGAGTGGTTTCAGACTGAACTGAGAGGACAGGGAGTTCATTTGGTCAAACTTGAAACCAGAGGAAAAAGAGAGTCGCCAATGGCGGGGGAATCTGAAGCTGCTCGGCATCCCTACGCACCCACAGATCTGGAACTCCCCGGATATGTTCCTATTTCACTACCCCTCACTACTATTCTCGGCGTTTATGTCCTCTCTTCTCTCTTTATCACTTTGCTGCTCTGGACTCTTTCCGGTATGCTTTCATCTCTTACTTTGATATTTACTGTCGTTTTTTTGGATTCTGTTTTATGCGCTTCGAATTCTGCTTGATTTCTTGCTGGAGAAGAAGACCGATGGTTTTCATAATCCGTAGTTTGTTGTTGTGTTGGATTTCTGTCCACTTGTTGAGTGAAGTAATTGGAAGCAAAATCAAACAATTTCAAATATTCTATGTTTTTCGTGTCCTCCAAGAATTCTATTGAATGTCTTTGCTGAATCTGAAGGCTGGCGATGAAACCGATGTAAAAATTTAAATCTGTCTCGTTCAATTATTCTTTTCGAGAGGATCGAGATCTGTTAAACGGATAGACGCCAGATTTCCCTTGCCTTGCCTTCCTACTCCTTAACTTGTGCTATTGTCTTTTGGTTTAGATGATTGCTTTAGAAAGGGAATACTGATGGGACGGACTAAGCGAGGATGTCTATGATTATACCTGAGTGTGAAAGAATGAAACATGTAGCAAACTGAAATCTATTTGGCCATTTATGGTTCTGTCAATCCGCGTTTGACTTCATTTGATTGGTTAATTTTGACACGATACAATATCTATTTTAGATTTAAACTCTTGATGTTTCCTTTGGTTATGCATACTCCCCTTTGTCTAAACAATCATTCATCCATACACTTTCTACTAATGAGGAACATAAATTTATCTAGATTTCAGAATGCTATGAGGATGAAATGTTAATGTTAAGATTACTATTTGGATATCAGTGATTAGCTTGTAAGTTTGTTTGTGTTGAGTGGTTATGGATATAGTGGGTTGAGAGAGTGAAAGAGGGGCAGATTTGTATAGTTTTGGAAAGAGTACTAGGCCTCTCGTAGAGCTTGGAACCTTGTAATTTGTCTAATATCAATATAATATTTCAATTAACCTGTCCAATTTTTGGTTCCTATCAAATTAGTTCCACTACATTTGTGCTCGAAATTGAATCTTTTCAAGTCTAGAAGAATATTGATGAACATGTTGTTCACAAATGGATCTTTTTCTTTTTAGGGCAGATATAGGGATGTTCATTTTGGGGTCCTTGTCCTTCGAAGTGTTTTTTCTTGTAGCTTGAGCCATCCCTCTCCAATGGTTCCACTTTTTTCCTTAGTGTAGGTAGAGTGTTGTACAAACACTAGATCCTAACACCATGATTGAAGTATGAAACACCTGATAATGGGCACTATACTATATTCAAACACTTAGTGTTGGTAGAGTGTTGTACAAGCACTTATGTTGCAAGCTATGACATATTTTGCTTTCCTATTGCACCCTGTGTTTTTTTCATGTTCCCTTCCGTGGTGTTTGTACACTTGTTCTCTCCATCTTTATCTATTTCTTTTTATCAGAATTTAGTAATGGAAAAAACTGTAGTTCTTAGAGTTGTTTGGAAAAGGTTCTATGCTTGTTGCTTTATCTTCATTTCCCCCTTATAACAGGACGACTTCCCAAAAAAACAAAGATTGAGAGGCTGCTCATGTGCTGGTGGATATTTACGGGCCTTACCCACATTGTTCTCGAGGGTTACTTTGTTTTCTCTCCAGAATTTTACAAGGACGGTTCTTACCTTGCTGAAGTTTGTAAGTTAATTTAATTCACTTTCTTTGTTACCCTAGCTGTGGTACTGGAAGGGCTGTATGGATGCTCCTCTAATAATGTTCATGTGCACTACTTACCAGGGAAAGAATACAGCAAGGGAGATTCTCGATACGCAACTCGGGACTCTGCGATTGTCAGTCTTGAAGGACTGACTGCTGTTTTAGAGGGTCCAGCTTGCATCTTAGCAGTGTAAGAATTTATCATCTCTGGGGTTTTGGGAGAGAATAGTTAATCAATTTCTAAATGACTAAGATACAAGAAGTTATGATACAAAACAAATACAAAAGAGGTAACTAGCTAATAAAATCTAAACCAAAGAATTTTGAAATGCTATACATATAAGGAATTACATCTGAACTTTCTGTTCATAATTAGCCATTCATCAACAAATTTGTTGGGCTGTGTATAATTCGCAGGTATGCAATAGCTACAGACAAGTCGTACAGTTATGTACTGCAGTTCGCCATATCATTGGGACAGCTATATGGAACTTTCATGTACTACATAACTGCTCTGTTGGACGGTGATAATTTTTCTTCATCCCCAATTTATTACTATTTATACTACGTATTGTTAAATTCCTTCTGGATTCTTATTCCTTCGCTTATTGCTATCCGGTGTTGGAAGAAAATTTGTATTGCTATGAGCAGTGAAAGCCACAAGAAAACCAAAGTTCCCTAAGAAGTGATCCATATTATGACGTCTACCCCTTTGGATTCATGGAAAATAATAGATTAGATAGTACACAAGATTCTTGTTGTATTGTAATCTAAGTTATTGTCGTGTGACATTCAGAATACGAGACACTCGTGGAATTTGAACATTTACACGAAGTTTGGGTTTGTTGATTCTGCCTTTTTTGGGTGTTAAATTAACGATGTCGATTCGAATTTGTTGTTGGTTATTTCATCAACTTTTTAGCATATTATTAGTAAAGCGTTTCTTAGATCTTTGCTATTGTATGCCAAATTTGTTTTGCAGAACTGCTTGTGTCGATCAAGTGTACGCTATATGAGTAAAGAAGGTACTGAGTGGTTGTAGGAGTGTCGTTAGTAGTAGATGGGATCGTAGTATTGAATTACATGATTGTTTTCTCATTTGAAATATGAACAAACTTCTACTAAGTTTAGGGGCTTATCGGAATGTTAAGAAAGAAAGCTGCTACTATATCCTCCTAACATAAGCACGACACCTTTAATTTGGATGTGAGAGCAAATAAGCACAATCCTTTCAAACGTTTGCTTTCGAGGTGCAATGGCAACCTTTCATTCCTCTTGAAATAATGAAGAGTTGCAATCTAAAACACACCACAGCCAACCTGGTGAGGTAAAGTAGAACATGAAATACACTAGACATGACTAACATTTCCGCTCATAAACTTTAGTTGAAATAACTCAAATTTATTGTTTTTTTAAATATACATTTGTGTTTAAGATATAATTTTATATACATATTTTTATTTTTATTTTTAATTAATTTCATTTATTCTTCCATCTTTCTTAAAAATAACTCGAATATATTGAAATTAAGTTGTTTTAATTAAATATTTAAAAATAAATAAATAGATGATAAAAAGAAAATTTATGATTGAATTAGTTTGAATTCATAAATACTATTTTAGTTGGAAGAAATTTCAACTCCAAATAATATAGTTCGGACTAAAAATGTCTGAACCGGGCCTAGAACATTATTAGTAAAAGATGACGGTCATTACCACCGAACCGGACCGGACCGGACCCCTTTTTTCCAAAGAGACGACACTGCGATCTCCTCCGGACTTAAACCTCTAAAACCACAGCCCCTTCTTCTCCCTCTCGAGCTCCAGTCCAGCAATGGCAATGTTCAAGCTCATCCTCACTCAATCTCGCCGCCACTGTCTCGCCAAATCCCCTTCTCTTTCAACTCCCCAGTTTCTTCAATTTCGAAGATCACTCTCCTCCTCTCAATCCGAATCCAACCCAGATCCCGATTCTCCCCCCAATGAATCCTCTAGGACCCCACGTTCCGCTCCCATTCAGCCCGTCTCCTACGCCATCAAGCCCAAGCCACAATCTGATCAGGACCACGATTCTCCAGAATCGCCGCAACCTCCGTCGGCTCCGCGGCGGCCGCCGCCAAGCCCCGAAGGTCGGAGGACGTGGACTCGTGAAGATATTCGCTATATGAAGGATACTCCAACTATAGCTCCGGTATCTTATCCATCGCGTGTTGCTCCGCTCCCGGAAGATAGGGTTTCGGCTTCGGGCGGAGGAGAGGAGGGTGTGGAGAGTGAGCAAATGGAGGAAGAGAGGAAGAAAATTGAGGCGGAGAAAATGTGGAGGAGGAGGGTTTTTAGGGTTGCGGAAGAGGATAAAGTTACTGCTCCATTTCCAATGGTGATCAAGGTCGACAAGAAGGAGCCGAAGGTAGTTCTTGATTTGATGGACGCCATCCGGCAAGTGAAGGTCAGTGTAGAAAGTTGTGGATTTAAAACTTTTCATGAGACATGATCTCTGGAGTTGTAAAATGAATGTGCTTTCTTAGATTTTTAGTTATGACATGGTTATTTACAAATTTCATTGTTTAATCTTACTATTATGATTTCTTAATTCAAGTTCAGGCTAGTTCCAAGTCAACTTTTGATGAGACTGTTGAAGCACATGCAAGATTGGGGGTTGATGCTAGGAAAATGGTAATGTTTCTATTATTTTTGTACTCTGTGGATTGTTCTTTCTCAGTAGGATTGGGAATCAAGTTTGAATGGTTCTGTTATTAGCCTAGTAACAATGAAATTTTAGGGGAGGAAGGAAAACTGAGAATTTTCTTACTCACTGGTTGATTGGAATGTGTTATGGTGCCTATTGATGGTTCAATATAAGCTGGCCTTGCAGCTGCACTAGTGTGCGCAATAGAGTTCTCAAAGTAGCTTATCAGAGGGCATATATATTGTAACGGCCCACCAAGCGATGTGCCAGCGAGGAGGCTGAGCCTCGAAGGGGGTGGACATGAGACGGTGTGTCAACAAGGATGTTGGGCCTCTAAGAGGGTGGATTGAAGGGTCCCAAATCGATTGGAGAAAGGAACGAGTGTCAGCAAAGAGCTGAGCTCCGAAGGAGGGTAGATCGTGAGATCCCACATGAGTTGGGGAGGAGAACGAAGCATTATTTATAGAGAGTGTGGAAACCTCTCCCTAGGGGAATCCTAAAAGGGAAAACCCAAAGAGGACAATATCGGCTAGCGGTAGACTTAGGCCCTCATTTATATATATATATAGATAAGAGACAATTTCATTGATGATTGAAATTTGTTAAAAGTTTTAATGATCAGTTGTTTATCCGTTACCCATATTATATAACTGCGGAAAGCTATCACATCCTTCGTTTTTTTTTTTTTTTTTTTTTGGAACACGCGATAGAAATGATTCCTTCATTTCTCCTGCTGATTCTGTGGACAATGAGCCCTTTCCTTCTTTGGTATTCTACATAGTTCTTACAAAATTATTATCCCACTACAATATTGTTTGCACTCATGGCTTTCTTTTTCTGAAATGCAGCAAGTTCTGGGTAACATGACTCTGCCCCATTCCATTGGGAAGGTATGCATCTGACCCTGTTTGTACGAGCATGTCGCATTGGAACTCAATATTATAGTTTATTTGTTAATAAAATATATATTACTTTTCAGACTGTCAAAGTGGCTTTCTTTGCTGAAGGGGCTGACGCTGAGGAAGCAAGGGCTGCTGGAGCTGATATTGTAGGTGGTGTTGAACTTATCGAGGAAATTGCGAGTAAGAATTGACCCTATTGTTTTTCCTTTTTATTAGTTGGGAAAATTTCATTTTCGTTTGTGTACTTGTACTTGACTCGATGAGTCAATTTTTCCCCTCAAAATATCAATTTCATCAAACTACCCAAAATTTGAATGAGAAGTGAAGTTAGTACCTTTTAATGCCTCTCTATATTTTCTAGGATTATCGTTGAGAAAATAAAAGTTTAAGAAGTTTTGTGGAACACGCACCCGAGCGATTCTTCTTCTTGGATGATCCTTCACATAACATAATCTAGTTCAAACAAGCCCAGGGAAAATTATCAAAAGCTTTACAAGATCAAGTTAGTCCTGTTGGTTAAACGAACTTGAATTAGAAACTAATCAATGTTTGGGACTTCATTATGCAGCCAGTCGGAAATTCAATGTTGATAAGTGTTTCTCAACCCCTGAAATGATGAGGCGCATTGGCAAGGTTTATGGATTTTACTTTTTGTGCATTGTACTGTTGTTCAATGTTGATGGCTGCTTATTTTACATTAATATTTTTAAAAAACTTTTACTCAAAGTTAGATGTTTTTGCTGTTTAGATTTCAAAGATTTTGAGGCAGCGTGGATTGCTCCCAGATCCTAAGGTGAGCGCATAATCCTCTGTTTCTATAGTGTTTATTTGATTGTAGATTAAAAATCAACTTTGATGTATTATATAGCTAGGTACTGTGACCAGTGATATCAAAGGGGCCTTAAAGAAAGCAAGAGAAGGTCACATGCACTTTAAAATGGATTCCACATCTATTGTGCATGTGGGGCTTGGGAAGGTAAAATCACTTTAGTTTAAAGCATATCACTTGGTTTTATAAGGAATGCACATGCTGAATCTGAATGAAAGTTTCCAGGAACATATCCTTCTAAACAGCATAAACTATTTCTTGTAGGTGAGTCATTCGGAAGAGTCGTTACGAGAAAATGTCGGTGCATTTGTAAATGCTCTTTTGCTTGCAAAGCCTGTCGGCTTGAAAAAAGGCAAGTAATATCACTGCCAGTTCATTCATCATTGAATTTAAGTGCTTCTATTACTTTTACGGCGGGGGGGGNNNNGGGGGGAATGTTATAATTATTCAAGCTATTTTTCTTCTGCCAGTCATCATAGTTCTTTGGTCTCCCTGACTGAAATTACATGTTATTACTTGCAGCCTCGAAATACGCTGGATACGTAAATTCCTTCCACATATGTAGCACGGTAATTCTTATCAATCTTGTTCCGTTCATTGTAATGTCCGAATTTCATGAGGCATAGTGATAAACCGTTGAGTTAAACTAAAATGATTGTGTCAACATCCCTCAGGGATCTACTTGAATTGTGCAATAGTAAGCATACATTAGTTTCTATTTCCAAACTTGATGATCGTGGAGGGTCTTTGGGTTACAAAAATTGCGATTTGATTTGATCACAGCCTTTTATTCATGCCACGTTAGTATTTTATTTGATGTTTAGAAAGTCGAGATATTTATTGCTACATGTTGCACGTAACAGCCCAAGCCCACCGCTAACAAATATTGTCCTCTTTGGGATTTCCCTTTCGGGCTTACCCTCAAGGTTTTTAAAACGCGTCTGCTAGGGAGAGGTTTCTACACCCTTATATAAAGAGTGTCTCGTTCTCCTCCCAACCGATATGGGATCTCACTGTTCAGAAATGGAAGTTATGGTTGCTGAGTTTTGTGATACATATCTCTTCTATATGAGATCTTATCTCCTCTTAGGTTGCAACTTCTGGGCGTCTACTAAATGGTGAAGTAATTCAGTATTGTTGTAATGTGCAGATGGGTCCCGGATTCCCCGTTACGATTCAATCTTTGTCCAAAGTTGCAGATCAATACAACAAGAAGTTCTTGAGCGGCGTGATCCGCTGACATCTCTCTAATATAGGTCTTTTCTAAGCCATTTTTCCATCTTTGATCTCCCTTGCCCCCAATTATAATGTTATTGTTACAAGGCAGGAAGTGGTCTAGATTTGGGTAGATTTTGTTCAACCATTTCACCAAGGACGTTCCATCTTTTTGTGTACTGAGAGGTAGAAATTGTTAGCTTCTTTTAGGGAAGAACAGCAGTGAGCAGTCATTTTGATTTTGGCTGTGGTTTGTTGTATTTACGTGATCTTCTTCTGGGTTCTTGCAGTT